GGAGAAAAGACAGAAAACAAGGAGGGAAGAGATATGTTAGAACATATCGAGAGAAAAAAAACTGTCGTTGAAGTTTATGTAGCGTGTAAGACAAAAGCATTCTCAAGAGAAGAAGAATAAAAAGACGAATGAACCATGTCAACAAGCATCAAGTGTGAGTGGCAAAATGCCCCCTTGAAGAAGATTCAAAATAAATCGGCAAGGCGGAAACAGTGGTGAATCTGATACACCCACAATGCAAGAGTCAAAGGAAATTGATGCTTCACCAAAATTGTTTCTCTAAACAACAATACGGAAAGAAGAGCTGCCCTTTTTTCTCTCTTCTCAGATTCCCTTAATCACGCCCCCCACCTCCCCACCCCTCACCTCCACCATCCACCTACTGCCTTCCCAGCCTCGGTTTTTACCCCAGTACTTAGATTCTTCCTTCATGTCTTTCACCACCCCCTCACACGACTAAAGGGCTATCTTGAGAAGCCAAGCCACCCCCCCCCCCCCCCCACCACTCTCTCTTTTTTCCCCGTTTCTCCCACCACCACCTCGAAAAGAACAACTTGTTTTCTCTGGAGCTCGGCGCGGCGTAGACAAATACGAGGGGCGTTGTCCAAATGTCGAGACCGAATGGAAATCGCGAGTGAGGATACTGTTCCCGGGTGTGTGCGTGCGTGCGTGCGTGCGTGTGTGCGTGCGTGCGTGCGTGCGTGAGCTGACTCGCTGTAGTGAGTAGTGAGTGAGCGGGTCACGGGCAGCCACAGGAAATGGAGCTTGCATGCCGGGAGGGGAGATGATAGAAGCAGCGCGGGGACCACCCAGGCTTCGAGTGCCACCAGCAACAACAGATGAGAAGAGCTCATGAGCTCTCCAGCGCCGTGAGGAAGGAAAGACGGCTCCGTGTGGCCAGACCAGGCCAGACTCGGGATGGACTGGCTGGCAAACGAAGCGCTAGGCGATCGTTACTCGCCTACGGTCCGTCTCACTTGGCTAGCTCTCTGAGCTGGAGCAAGCGACCACCAGGTCCGCATCTGGACAACGAGAAATGAGGGAACAATAGCTCGACCAGAGGACAAAATAGCATATAAACGTAGGTAGCTGCTCTACTGCTTCAAGAAGTAGAATGTTTACGTGTTAAAAGCTCGATCAGATCAAAGAAATGAAAACTAAACCAGTTCACTTTCGTAACACAAAGGTCAAGTTGTTTCTCTGACAGCGGCATGGTTTCTCTGATTGGGTGCTCGTTCGCTCCTAGATCCATTTCAGAAGTAAATAACGCCCCCGCCCACATTCTTAAAATACTTTAAAAACATATTTGTGACATGAAGTCACTGCGACCCAAATGTGTTTGTTTCTGTGGCTGTTGTTGATGGGATTTTTTAATTTTTGTTGTTGTTTTGTTTCTTGCTTTGTTTGTTTTTTATGGCCAATGAGTGGCATTGGAGGATTGATTTTAACAGAATATAGCATAAACATTTCAGTGCATTGTATTGAGAAATTGTATAGATGAAAAACACTTACATTAAAAAAGACTATCTGGAAACTTTAAAAAAAAAATTAAGTATCACTTTTATTCAGCCATGGTTTCAAATATGTTTCGTAATAGCATGTCGTGCATACGTAGCACGTCAAAAAATGCACAGTGCCCATCGCCACAAACAATTGCACGCGGACACGCTGATGCAGTAGACCACAATGTAAAGGTATATGTTACATTCAGCTTGACCTGAGCAGGGCAAAAAAACAACAAAAACAACCCATTATTACGATAATGACCACCCATCCCATACAAAAATATCAAAATTTGTAGTATCGACATTGCTTAGCTTTGTTTGTAGGCAATTGCGGACAAACAATGGAATGCTGGAGCCTCAAAACCTTACAGTATGCTTAAAATAATGCTATTATGTATGTCCATATGTCTATACTATACACAAACTCCTAGGTATAAAATGGAAGGGGTAAAAGAATTCCCTAGTTTTGTGTACAGGTCAAAGCCTTATAGGACTCAAATAAGTAATTTTAAAGAATGGGTTCTCTGCTCAGTGGCACGAGAAAAGAAGAAGGAAGAAAAAAAGAAAAGAAAACAGTGAAGATTTGGTCACGTGACACTTGTACGAATAAGCATAGACGTTAATGATTGTTAGTGGGTTGTCCCTCCAGATGATGTTCTGTGAGCCTGTTATTTATTTATTTATTTTTATTTATCCATTTATTTATTTATTTATTTACGGGGGGGGGGGGCAGTAGTTATTCTTTAAAAGTCACTATATGGAGAAGGCAAAACAAAGAGGGTTTTGAGTTGGGAATAACCGATTTAAATGGTTCAAAATGGCTCACAGTTGGAAACTGAAATATGAAAGGGGAACTTGGCCACAGTGGAATTGGACGAGAAATATTATTCGATGCTTCAGAAACGCTGGTTTGTTTTAACAAAGGCGTTTTTGCTGGGATGAGGAGCTCACAATACAACCCATTAAAATCGAAAGTGGAACTCTGATGTCTTTCAAACTAGAAGCTGAATTAAGATCAATTAATTTTCAATCCCATTGTAGTGACCTGTGAATATTGCAGTATACCAATTCACCTTTTTGAAGTCCGTCGGATTGCACGGCCTTTTTTCGGGCCATATGTTGTCTTTCCCTTGTCTAAGACTTTCTGTGTATTCTAGTTCAGTTTTAAAAAGTACAGAAAACTTGTAGAGCCAAAGTTTTTAAAATACTGTCGCTCAAGTTTCAGCCCCTCCCGCCATAAAGGAAAAAGAAGTAAGGCAAAGCGAAAAACGAAACACAATACAAAACAAAAACAGTATCCGGCCCTTATCCCAGGCTCCACTGCAGTATAGACACACCTGCAAGGTAGCCATCCAGCAACCATTCGGGCTATGAGGGATGTCATTACACGGGCTCGCGAGGATCTAAGACACAAAGGTTGACGAGGCGGGACGATCGTGGAAGGAAAATGTTACAAGGGCACCCGACTAACAAAGCCGTGTAGACTTAACTGGCGAGCTATGAGGAACAGAGAATGTCTTGTTGCCTCCCGAGCCTTTCATCGTGTGCGAGGGATGCCGAGGAGACTTTAAAGACAGCGATAAGCACACACGAGACGAGTTTACGGTTGCCGTGGAAGATTATTTTCCTCGCCGCTGCCAGTGGGCACGAGTAGGAAAAACTTGCCCTGTCAAGGACCCTGCTCTAGATTCCTGTACCTCGAAGCGATGACGTGTCCTTTGGGAACGGTCTTTGACAGCGGTAGGCAAAGTACGATCCATCGTCGGAGCTTGGGGCCCAAAGGAGTTTTGACATGCCGTTATTGATTTGATGCAATAGTCGAGCAAAATGCTCTTCAAACATCATAACCACAGCTTAAATAAAGAAGCGAAAAAGCCGTCGCACGCAGTATGGATTTAACCGATAGCAAGAAATCAAAGCAATGTCCATTAATAACAAACATTGCAATAAAAAGGAAACTGGATAGCTAATTAGCACTCTCCAAACGCATGCTCCCACCCCCTCCCCCCCAAAAAAAAAGAAATTAAAAAAAAAAAACTCACAATCATGCCTGCTAAATATTCTGAGTATTTTGGGTGATAATGGAAAGAAACAAAAATGTCCATGCAATTAATGAGCTTTCCTGTGATATCTACGGTCCCAACAATGTATGGTTTTTAGTTTATCATATATTCTTCTGTGTGCTTGCATAAAGCCGTCAGCATAATGTTTGCCTCGTAAAAACCCCTTTTGTCCTTTGAGTCTCCTGAGTCACACTCGGTAACGACACTCCCTGAAGGCCGTAAAAACCCCAAAAAATATGTATAAAAGAATTTTGAGGTCTACGAAGAAAGTGGAATTAGAAGTAGAAGTATTCACCTAACATCGACTTTCTAAGTTTGAACAGAACTTCTCATCAATACGTGATCTGGACACTAGAAAGAAAAAGGTCGCTGACCCCAGGGCTGAAAAGATCGTCAGAAGAAAATAAATAATCGCAGGGGCCTCGAAGGGACGAGAACGTGTGTACGTGAGAGCGGGAGGGGGGTGAGTGGAGGTACG